CCACGGGGTGCGGGGGGAGGAGGGGGTGCCATCTATTTTATGCGCATGCATAGTGGGCTCCCGGAGCACCTTATTTTCTCTCTAAAAACTGTGGTCTCTGATGTAACCATTCTCAGATAGGATCACCCACTTGTCTTTCTTTCTTCCCCAGGCAGATATATCCGAGAAGTACCTCTCCGCCTCGGAGTATGGGAGCTCTGTAGATGGCCACCCTGAGGTCACCGAGACCAAAGATGGTACCCACGCTTATGGCTCTCAGCCCAGGGTGGGGAGGGGATGGTCCCCAGGCTGTGTGGCCCAACCCTAATGCGCTTCAACAGCTACTTCCAACATGCCTCCCCTTTATAAACAGCTAACAGATCCAGGGAAAAGGGAGAGATGACCCAATGGAAGTTCCATGACTTGCTGGGGGTAGAATATTCTCTCATCCTCTTGTTGGCTCACCCTGTTGTAAGGGTCTTGGAGCTCATGCAGGCTGTAGATGCCCAGGTGCTGGAACATCCCGTGGGAGAAGCCAGGGTGCCCCTCTTGAGTGTGCCAATCTACAGACCCCTGGCTCTGGGCTGTGGGTCTTGGTGTGGGGAGCAGGAGTCTGTATGTGTGCACATGCATGTACACACGTGTGTGCAGGGAGGGGCAGCTGTGGTGGGGAGCGTCTTCTATTTTTCCCATCTACTCTAGGGCCTGGGGCTAAGCTGTGTGCGAGGCTGATGGCTTTTTCTCTCATCTCGACAGTGAAGAAGAAGTGCTCTGCGGGCCTCAAACTGAGCAACCTGATGAACCTGGGCAGGAAGAAGTCCACGTCGCTGGAGCCGGCAGAGAGGACCCTGGAGACCGCCTGTAAGAAGCGCAGTGCCTCCTGGGCCGCAGGGCTTGACCCCTGGGCTGCAGCCCGTCTCCAGGAAGGCAGCTCAGACAGCGAAGGCTGGGGCTGTAGGTCTCGCTTTAAACGTGTCTTAGGGACGTGGAGTCGTGGCCCAGTTCCCGTCTCTCTTCACTGCAGGTAGTTCTTCATGTCTGGCCAGACCCTCTCACTGCAGTGTGGATCTTTTGCGGAAGTGAAGGGTAATGGATTGCTGTCCTCCTAATGGTCTGGGAAAACGTGTTCGTTAGATCGATACTTAAGGAGCTTGGCAGGCAGTGTTACGGAGAGGGAACCAAGTGGATGGACACAGTCCTGGGAGCTTAGAGTTCTAGAGAGATGACAGCTTTGCCCCCGTTGCCACATACCTGCTGGCGGAGCAGCTATCAGGACTCAGGGACGGAAAGAACCTTTCCCGCTCTGGACAGAGATGGATTCCTCAACCGGAGTCTTGACGAACAGGCAGGAGCTACGTAGGCTCGGAGGTACCCGGGGTGGGAGCCAAGACTGAGACGCAGACTGGTGAGACGCATTCAGGGGCCGGGCTGGAAAGCCCACGCGTCGCTGGGA